CCCCTCCTTCCCGATGCCTCCCTTCCTCCCAGCAGAGGCGGTTCAGAAAGGACGGCCGGGTGGGTTCCCCTCAGACCACAGCCAGACAAGACCCCCCCCCATCCGTGGCTGCCTCCCTGGCCCCCAAACCCAGGCGCTCGGGCTCCCCACCCCAAATGGGCGTCTCCTTGCAGGAAGGAAGGAAGGAAAGAGCCAAGTCTCAGCCGGGAGACCTACTTTCCTGCTTTAATCCTTTTTGCTTAAAGGACTCCCCCCCCCTCCCCACTCAAGGAAGATGCGGACTGATCAGAGGAGAGGCGCAGGCAGCTGACAAGCTGCAGAGGGTTGCGGGGGGGGGGGGGAAGAGAGAGAAAGGAATACATATTTATTACCCTCAATTATTTAAAAAATAGGGAGCACGGCAGCCGGGGCCCTCCTGGCGGAGGCATCGGGCGGCTGCCAGTGGTGTGTTGGGCACCATCTATTTTTTTTTCCTTTCCAATTTCACTCTCTTCCCCCCCCCCAAGTTATAATTGGCAGGGCAGGTTACGGAAGGTGCTGTGGAGTCAGCTGGGGTGGGTTAAAAGCAACACACACACAGACAGACACACACACAAGTCCTGGCCCCTCCAGTCCCCCCCCCAAGCCAGGAGGAAAAAGAGAAATGATATTGTTGAGCATCAAAGGAGAGGACCCCTGTAGATTTGGGGGTGGGGGTCAGAAGCAGCCCCACAAACCTTGTGGTGGGGGTGGGACAGCCCCCCCAGAAAAGAAAAGGGGAGGAGGTGTTAATGGACTCCCCTTCCCTTTCCTCTTCTTCCCCTGCTCTGAAGCCTAAGAGGATGAGTCCCAGTGGACGGGGTGGGGTGGGGGAGGAAGAGAAGTCGGGAAAGGAAAGTGGTCCCACCTGGAAACGCAAAGGGGGGGCCAAGAGAGAGAGAGCAGGGCCCTCACGGAGGCCGAGACAGAAGGCGCCTCCTGGCCATGCACAGAAGCAGTGGGGCTACAGGGTTGGTCCTCCGTGGGGGGGGGGGGAATAGGGCTTATCCATGGATGAGGATGGCCACCAAAGGGCCAGCCCGAGAGCAGCCAGCGAGGGAGGCAGTGGATGCCCGGCCCTTGGCACCAGGCGAATACCTACACGGCCACAGATGCTTGTTTTTAGATGCGTTAACCTTAAACAGATCCACACTTTATCCCACGAAGAGTCTCAAGCAGAGTAGACCCACCGTCGCAAGGAGACCTGCCTTGGTGTCGTGTTCTCTGCCTACTTGGGACTGGCGATGGGGCCTCACCCATCTCTCCCCCCCCCTTCAGCAGCAAAATGGCGCTTCCTCCCAGAGGCGCGTGGCTGCGGAGCCCTCCGGCGAGCAAACGCCAACCCGCCTTAGATCCTTCTGGGATTTTGGGGAGGGTGGGAAGGAAAAAAGTGAGCGGGAGCTGCATGACGGGGCCGATTCGGAGGACG